AACTCTAGCATAAAGAATGTATTAATATATCTATATTGATTTTCACCCCCCATGCCCCTTTGCTAATAGAAAAAAATCTAGCTATGATGTGTCCCAAATTTAAGAGTGTGATGTGAAGGACTGAATTTTGTTTGTTTGTTTGGTGATCTTTTCCTTCTTAGGTAACATCTTTTGTACATGCTCTAAAGTCTCAGTTAATGGAATCCTACGGTGCATTTCTGGCTAGCTCAGTCGGTAGAGCCTGAGTCTCTTAATGGAATCCTTAATGAGCTAGAATTTTTCTGCAAATGGCTTTAGATGAGGGAAATTCTATAAAATGACAATTTGGATATGCTTTTTGTTAAATGAGAGCAATTTTCTCTGTATGCTTTGTCTGTGCATGGCTGTGCAGGGCCCAAATGACTTCACTGACATCTGTTTCCAGGAGGGGGTCTTCAGAGCCTCCTTAGGCCCCTGTCAGTATCATAAAGAATTCATCTTCTTATATCAGATGGGGTTACCCTCCCCCCCCAAATAAAAAGTAGGGAAGAGCTTCTCCATGGAATCAGGTCACAGCTTTGGGGAGTGGGATGGGGCCTCTGTGCTTTGATCCATGCATGAGCTGAGGTGAGAAGCCCCCACCTGCACCTGACTGCAGTGACTGTAATGGCTGGAATTGTCACCTCTTCACCTTGATAGGCTCTCCCACACCTGGAGGACGGGGGCTGGGGGAGGGCAGGGAAGGGGAGGGAGTCAGCCAGAATGTATTTTCTTTCACTCCATTTCCTGAGGGAAAACTTGCTTTTAAATGAGGAAAGGGACAGAATCAGACCTAAGTAAAATTCCTGAGTAGTCAACATTTCTCTTCAGTGTCTCTCCACCTCCCTTTCTATTTCTTTCCTACATTCCGGCTCTTCCATTTTCCCAGTGCCCAATACAGTCATGGTTGCTGAAATTCTCACTGCCTCTACTTTCCTTTCCCCATCAATTACCCCACTATAAAATGACCCCTTTCATCTCTCCTTTCCTTAAGCATATATGGTGGGTCATTTAAGTGTTAGGAAGAAAACTAATTTAAAGAAACTAATTTTACAGTTTGCATTCTATAAAAGGACACTTGCTAGATAATCTAAATGAATTGATAGATTAGATAATTTGAGACTGTGATATATATTGCTTTGCTGACAAGAGAGGAGCCATGAATGTCTAGATCTTTGCTGTCCGATATTCTAGCTACATGCATCTATGTAAATTTAAATGTAATTTAATTAAGCCAGGCACAGTGACTCAAGCCTGTAATCTCAAGTGACTCAGGAGGCTGAGGTGGGAGGATGGCTTGAGACCAGGAGTTTGAGACCAGCCTGAGCAACACAGTGAGACCCTGTCTCTGAAAAAACAACTTTTTTAAACTAGCTGAGCATGATGGCATGCGCCTGTAGTCCCAGCTACTCTGAAGGCTGAGGTGGGAGAATTGCTCAAGCCCAGGAGTTCAATGCTGCAGTGAGCCATGATCATGCTACTACCCTCCAGCCTGGGTACCAGAGCAAGACTCTTACTCTTTAAAAAAATTAATTTAATTAGAAATTTTATTTCTCAGTTGCACTAACTACATTTCAAGTGTTCAGTAACCATAGTGGACAGTACAAACGTAGAAAATTTCCATCACTGCAAAAATTCTATTGGACAGCACTGGTGTAGATCATTGATACTCAAAATGTGATCCATGGGCCAGCAGTATCAATATTATCTGGGAGCTTACAGAAATGCAGAATTTCAGGTCCACTTCAGACCTACTGAATCAAAATCTTCCTTTAGCAGAATTTCTCAAATGATTAGCACTGACCTACATCCATTTTATCCTTCCTTAGATATTAGGGATGTGATGTCTGAGGTCTTTAAAAGGTGCCTGGAATAGCTTGTTTCTTAATCCACTGTTTCCTATTCATTCTCCAGCTAATCTCAGCAATGAGCTGAAACTCATTCATCACCCTCGCTGAGTTTTCTTCTCAATCCTTCTTCCTAATCTGGTTCTAGAAGAGCCCTATCCACCCAATGGTTCTATTTTGGTAGCCAATGTGGGACACAGGAGATTGGCAGACCAACACAGCTGGCCTCTCTCCAGCCCTCCCTCCATCTCTAAATCACTAACAATCCATGTTTGCTCAGTTTGTTGACATATGGCATGTTCATTTGTTCACAACTTAATCATAGAACATTTCAGAAAAATATGTACTGAGATAAGTTAAAACCATGTTAGTCTCATACAACTTGTACATTTTCCTTTTCTCTTATCAGTAGATTGTCCTGTTGACACAGTTCATGTTTGAGGACACGTATCAGCACACACACATTAAATGAATTGTTAGGCATGCAAAGAAAGAAAAAGGAATGAACCAAAATGATTGCAAATGAAGTAAATGTCATTTAAGCCCTCTAAAAAGGCATGCTTTGCTAGATATAGATCTGTTTTTCTTATGCTCACTTATTGTGATTTTTACATGGTTAATAATTCCTTAAAATAGTACCTGAAAAATAATGTATCATGTTCTTGACCCCCAAAGGACAATTTATTTAATTCTAGAGTAAGATCTTTCCCAATGAGATTTATTGTCAGAAATCCTTCACTTAATAACTTTTACATATTAATATAGTACACCAAAACACAATTGCCTAGAGATGCTTTAGCTAATTTTTATTTATAAAGAGGACAACAATTTTGTCTTCATGGAACTTATTTTCAACAGGAATCAAGGAAGAAAATATTAATGCAAAGCTATGACTTAGAAAGTTATAGGGGCTACCTCTATACAGTACTTCTAAAGTAAAACATCTTGTCTCCAACTGGGCTGACAACATAGGGGACTTTCATGGTCTATGGATATGAATTCTTTAAGGATATAGCCCTTAATTAAGGTGTAAAAAAAATGCATCTCTCGACCTTGATGTTTAGGATCTCTCCTATCCGCCCTCACTCCGCCCCACTCCGCCCCACTCCAATGAACTCATCCTACATCTTTCAGCTGTAAGTTGGATAAGACAGTGGGTTTGAAGTTTAATAATACAAGTGGCAGTTCTAAAACACCAGGTTCTTTAGATCAGCCGAAATGAAGAGTGAGAAGTGAAAATTCCTCCACTAGTAATTGTTAGCTAATAGAATAGCCTCCCAAGCAGTCCCCACAGCACTTGGTTGCCATGAGTCTCTCTCCTCTCACTGCCCGACCCGGTGCCACGACGCCTGGGGCTTGTCTTTTCCATGGCATCCCCTGATTGACTTTTATATAGCAATCTCTGTGTCAAGTCAATAATATGATGCCTTTATAATAAGATGCCTTCCTAAAGAAGGAACTGCAACGTGATGATTATTGGTTTTTATAATACACAAAGCATTAAGTTTTTTCTTATCCTATTTTCTCTTTATTATTTTTTTTCCAAGTTTTGTCTGGAGACATTTATGTTAGAATAAAAACTGTAAAGTTTTATCATTGTGGAGAACAGAGAGATCAAAGACAGCTGGACTGTACCTATTTGTATAATTATTTCTGATATTTTTAAGAAAAGAAGTTTAACAGAGTAACTCAGACTGAGACTGTTAAACTCTGTTTATGATAAACTCCATATTACATGATATAGGTGAACAGATTAATTCCCTTCATGCAACTAAGA